TCCGCGCGGGATGCGCATGCACGCGCACCGTATTGATCTGTTTACGTTCCGGCATGGAGCTTGCACGGCGCTGGCACGGCTCTTGCACAACACTGAAACGGCCTGGCATGACGCTGACACGAGCCTTTGCACCAACTTGTAAAAAATAATATTACCCACTTCTCCAAAACTTGCTTCATCGTCGTCCGTTGCTGAAAGCACCACCAAAGGTCCATTAGGCTTGTAGTTCTCTCGCACAGTGATGTTGTACTCAGTGGGAAAGAAGATGGGAAAGTTATCGTTGGCATCGAGTACCCGAATGCTGACCAGACACGTACCGGTTGCACCATCTGCAAAGCGCGGTATATGTTTAAACATTAAATAGCTAAGGTTTTGGCTAAGAATAAGGAAAAGCAAGATTCACAAAAGAGCAAAAATTGTTATTGATTTTGGGCTTTTCATTAGCAATTAGCGGATTTGAAATACAATAATGTACGAAGAGCCAAATGCTGCTTAATAACGTAAAATTTTTTTAACGAAAGTAAATAGGAAACATATGTACGGCACAATTACCATTAACACAATGAGCTCTGACACAGTCAGACGGCAAAGAGCTGTCAAATACTCCGGAGCTTGAAAGCAGTTGTATCAATCAAGCAAAGATCGTTTTCAATGGCGTGAATTGTAGCTAACAATTTGCGAAATGAAAACTGCCATCTATATATTTAGTGCATTTACATTCCTTAAGAAAGCATTTAGGGATAATGATACACTTTCTATGAAGAATCTCCAGGCTTCTGTAGTGCACTATACATTTTATCCTCTTTTCAGCTTTTGTTGTATGAAAAGGTTTCAAAAGCTCTCTATGAAAGGCATTCTTATCAGACCAAAATATCAAAACCCAAGGCTTCCCATGTTTGAGACACACTTGTGCAAAAATTATACGATGTTGATGTTAGCGTGCGGGTTGAAGACCTTTAAAATTGGCACAAAAAGTGAATAACTAGTTCTTGCTACGTAAAGTGAGCGAAAAGTATCAGTGCATTTACTTTTCAATAAAGTCTAGAAATTAGCCGTGGTTTTTCTACATTTTTACGCCCATTTCTAAATTCAATGACAGAAAGTTGTATATTCTAACAAGATACAAACTTACTCTGATCAATGGCTGCCACAGTGAGTTGATGGCTGACCTCCTTTTCAAAGTCAAGCTTCTTCTCCAAGCAGATAGTGCCACTGGTGGAGTCGATATTGAATAGCTAAACAGAGACATCAGCTTTGGAAGGGAAGAGCAAATATATTTTGACCAACCTTTGCAGCATCTCCACTATCCTGGAAAGCATATCGCAGACGACTTGACCCGCCGCAGAGACTGTTAGTTGCTTGTACCTGAAAGCAATACTACCGTATTTCCCATCTATACCGTACAACAATGGCAACCTTCGGAAATTTCTGGTACCTGGGTTTCTTATGCGTCAACTAATTGGAAAATAGGTAAGTAATTGCCCGAGCGGCAACTCAAACAATTTACTCGTATTCGAGAAATTTGACTTTGAACTGAAGCCCAGACGCCCATGTGCGGATGAAGGCCGATACGTGCGACTGCAGCGTGAGCAGAGCCTTTCCATACAAGACCGCAGTTGCTTGGAACGCACGCTGGATGCTTTTACTCAGGCAACCAAAGAATAAGGGAAATTTGTCGTGCGCGCACACGTTAAGCAAGTCAGGGAGGTTGGCTACGGCCGTCTCCCGCATACAGGTCAATATTGATTGATCTACAGGAAAAGAGTACGGTACGGGCTGCATTTTGGAGTTAAATTTCTTGCCTTCGATTGAATCAAATGAGCTGCAACTTGAGCATGGCTTGGCTTAGGCCTTGCAATTGGTTTTTACATAAAAAAACCCAGATTCCCAGATTTTCTCAGATATGCGTTCAAGAGTTCATATTCCCAACTGGTCAGTGGTGAGCTGCAGCTCACATATACATCAACATCTTTGCAATCAAGGGTTTTGGAGAGACCCGCTTCAAACTCTAGCCCAGACCGCCTCCATTTCGAGCGCGATTACTGTGGAAAGTACGGTCTGGGCTGGAGTTGAGAGTCTAATTTCTCTAATAGGAATGAAGCATATGAGCTGCCGCTTGGGTGATGGCTTGGCTAAAATCTTCCCATTGGTTTGCGCTTAAAAAACCCAGGATTTCTGATTCTCCTGCACAATGCTTTCAAGAGTCCATATTCTGTTTCCAATTGGTCAGTGGTGAGCTGCAGCTCACAGATACATCAACATCATTGCAATCAACGGCTTTGATTAGGGTAAGAACGTGTCGCTATGACAACGCATATGAGCTAGCGCCGCTCGGCTAGAGCTAGTAGCATGCCGCGACAGCCATCGGCCGTTACGCACCTCATTCGTATGATACGCATCTGCTCATTATCGTCAGCTACCTACTAGATTCTACGCCTGCTTTGAATATTTCAAAACTATAAACATTTGTGTTTCTGCTGGCGTTTCGGCTCCGAATTCGAAAGACAATTCAGAAAGGTCTGGATATTTCTATGTGAAAAATGAGCCTAAAATGTTTTCCACTACTCTATTTGAACATGGCTGGAGAGATGATCTACATCCTGGAACAGAGGATCAAGGTGAGGCAAACATTTGAAGGTCTTCAAACGATCAAGATGCTCAAACCTGGTCTGGTTTTCTTCTGTTGAAAATATTGGAAAACCTTATTCAAGCCATTGCTTCAACTGGGAGCTCATATGATTCATTCGTGCCAAGTCCGATGCTAAATTTCAGCCCAGACAGTATACACTTGCTACCGTATTCTATACTGCTAGCTGATCGCACGTGGCAACAGAACGGTTTGGGCTGGTGTTTAGAGTAAGATTCTGCAGCCACCAATAAATCATATGAGGTCCCGTTTGGGCAGTAGCTTAAACAGGGGCTTTCAATTAGTTTCCATACAAGAAGTCGTTTTTATACTCCATCCCACACCGTAATGGTTCCAAGCGCGACCAACTGGCGTCTTGATAAGGAACTCAAATATCCATACTTTCCTGGAACCTCTTAAGCATCTTAACAACTGATGAAAACCCTTTCTTTTCTCTCCTCTTTTATTCTAACAGTTCATATTAATAATTCGCGACCGAGAAGTTCAACTATAAACTCCTGCCCAGACAGTATTTATTCCACCGAACCAATCAGCGTCCTCGAATACGGTAGAAGATACGGTATGGGCTTAAGGGATCAAAAGCGTTGTTCCTCAATTATTGAGCACATCCAATAAATGTTCTTTATCATAATTATCTTAATACAGCTCAGTGGACTTAATGGAAGGGTAAATACGTCAAAAGGAGAAGTTAGAATACATGGGAAAGTGTGGGAGGGAAGGTAATGAAAGACAAAGAAAATTATGGTTTTCAATGCAAAAAAGTTGTTTTGAACTTTTTTAGCATTCAACGAGTATTAATGATAGGTTAATCCCCTACATTGTACAGATATAAAGGCATAAATTACAGTTGTAACACTCATTCTAGGCTCCACTCCCGCCTATAAGCCTGCTAATTAGAGCTGAACTCATCCCCCAAACCAGAAATCTCCTAAACTACATTTAAACTGAAGTTCACTGTTCTTTTCAGAATCAAAAGAACATCGCCGAGGAGAAGGGCGATTTGGTATTGCACGATATCATTAGCCAGACCCTCAAGCAGAAGTACCTGCATGAAATATTCAAGTGAGGACC